ATTTTCCGTAGTGAAATATGGCTACAAATTTCAATATTGTATGGACGGGTCCCAAATTGGACGGAAAACTCGATTACAATTATTGGCAAATTATGATGTCCACACATTTGCAAGCTCAAAATCTTTGGAGCTTTGTTGATCCCGGTCTACCCGAAGGAGCTGATGCAGCCGCTATACGGCGAGATAAATTGGCCTTGGGTCAGATTCACCAAGGTGTTCATTATTCCATTTTTGGGCAATTAGCTCGTGCTCAAACAGCAAAACAAGCTTGGGACATCTTAAAGGTGTCACACAAAGGAGTCGATCGGGCACAGAAGTCTAAGTTGCAGTCGTTGAGAAGGTTGTACGATAATTGTGAGATGACCTCTACAGAAACAGTAGATATGTATTTCGCTCGTCTTATTGATATGGTGAATAAGATGGGGTTATACGGAGATACAATTGAAGATGGTGCAGTGGTTGAAAAAGTTCTTCGAACTATGCCGATGAAGTATGACCATGTGGTGGCTTCAATAACAGAGTCACACAAAACCGAGCTCTTATCAATTGCAGAGCTGAAAGGTATGGTAGAAAGTCATATTGACAGAATTGCGTCAAAATCGGAACCACTAGCAGAAGAAGCTTTGAAGAGTCAAGTCACCCTTAATGTGACTGGCACTAATCAAAGAGGTGGAGGATCTGGTAGAGGTCGTGGAAGAGGAAGAGGAGGTTCTGGTGGAAGAGGTCGTGGTAACTTCAACCAAGGAGGAGGACGTGGTAACTCCAACCAAGGAAGAGGTGGAGGTAATACCAAACAAGGTAAATTTCCATTTCATTGCTACAATTGTGGCAAGTATGGGCACAAGATTGCAGATTGTTGGTATAATGAGGACAACAATCGTGGAAATCAAGCAAACATTGCTGAAAACACTGCTGAAAAGTCTGGTGAGAGTTCTGAAACTTTACTTTTAGCCAGCGATAGTTTTTCTGCAGATAAGAACATATGGTTCTTGGATACTGGGTGTAGTAACCATATGTGTGGGAAGAAAGAATTATTTTCCGAACTAGATGAATCAGTCCGGTCTGAAGTAACGTTTGGCAATAAGTCAAAGGTGCCAATTTTGGGAAAAGGTAAAATCTCCATTCAGTTGAAGGATGGTACTCACAATTTTATATCCGATGTGTTCTATGTTCCTGAACTACACCAAAATTTGTTGAGTTTGGGTCAGTTGTCAGAAAAAGGATATAAGATACATATTGCTCAAGGGTGTTGTACCATTGAAGATGCTAAAGGAGTTTTGATTGCAAAGGTAAATATGTCCCAAAATCGACTATTTCCTTTGAAAATTAAGCATACTCTCCTTGATTGCTTTAATTCTGAAGTTTGTGATGATAATTGGTTATGGCATATGCGGTTTGGGCATTTCCATTTCTCTGGGTTAAACTATCTTGCGAGAAAGGAACTTGGTTCTGATTTACCTGTTGTGAATGTCCCTGATCGTATCTGTGAGATTTGTGTGATTGGGAAGAAGCATAGAGATCCCTTTCCCGTGGGCAAGTCAAGGAGAGCTACAAAACAGTTGGAGATTATTCACTCAGACCTATGTTCGTTGGAGGTTCCCTCACATGGAGGTTGTAAGTACTTTATTACTTTCATTGATGATTTCAGTAGAAAAACATGGGTTTACTTTCTGAAGCAAAAGTCTGAAGCATGTGATGTTTTCAAACAATTTAAGGCTTTTGTTGAAAAGCAGAGTGGTTATGAAATTAAAATCTTGAGAACTGATAGAGGTACAGAATATATTGCCTGTGATGATTTTCTGAAGAAGAAGGGTATTCAACATCAGATGACAGCTAGATACACTCCACAACAAAATAGAGTGGCTGAGAGGAAGAATAGGTCTATCATGGATATGGTAAGGTGCATGTTGAAATCCAAGGATCTGCCTAAACCTTTTTGGGCAGAAGCTGTTGCTTGTGCTGTCTATGTGTTGAATAGGTGTCCAACTAAGAGTGTCCGGGATAAGACACCCGAAGAAGCTTGGAGTGGGAGAAAACCCTCTATCAAATATCTCAAGGTTTTTGGATGTTTGGCATATGCACATGTGCCAGATCCATTGAGAAAGAAGTTGGATGATAAAGGTGAGAAATGCATATTCATTGGTTATAGTGACGCTTCAAAGGCTTATAAACTATACAATCCTGAAACTAAAAAGTTTGTTATAAGTCGTGATGTCACTTTTGATGAATATGGTGCTTGGGATTGGTTAGCTAAAGATGAAAGTTCAGTTGTTATTCCTGCTGTTGAAAATATTGTTGAAGAGCAACCGATTCCAGATAATGTCCAGTCTCCTTCACAGCCAGAGTCGTCAGTTCGGCGATCTCAGCGCGAGCGCCACTTACCAGCTCGCTTGCAAGAGAATGTTTTGGGTCATGATAATGACATGTCTGATGAAGAGATTATTCAATTTGCTCTCTTTGCAGATTGTGATCCTTTAACTTTTGAGGAGGCTGCTACAGAAACTCATTGGCTTAAGGCGATGGATGAGGAGATACGTGCCATTGAAAAGAATGGTACCTGGGAGTTAACAGATTTACCTCCTGGGAAGAAGCCAATTGGAGTAAAGTGGGTTTACAGAACGAAATACAAGTCAGTATATCCAACTTGAAGACGAAGACATTTCTTAAATTGAAGAAGGAAATTGGGATGACCAATATATCCAACTTGGTTTAAAGGAGGCAATGTTATAATAATAATAATGCTATTATTATAATTAGTAATATATTAAACCAAGTAGTTAGCAGTTAATTTGTTAAAAAATAAAAGGAGGTGTGTGAACGTGGATGCATGCATAGCACTACGTGAAATGGAGTACATGGAATCATGGCCTCTAATTACTTCCTAAACTTTAGCATTGTTGCTTTTCTCTTTCACTATAAATATGTGGCTTTTGTTTATTCATAATCATCAAGTGAAGTAATAAACATTTACTTCTATTCCTCTCTCTCTCTTCTCAATATATAAATATAATATATAGATATTATATTTAATATATATTATAGATATATTATATTATATTTAATATATATATTATATTAAATATATTATATTTAATATATATAACACCGTCTAAAACCTCATTCATAAAAACCATGGAGGTGCAAGGAATCAAACCCTGTGCCTCTCGCATGCAAAGCGAGCGCTCTACCATATGAGCTACACCCCCATTAGTATAAAGATGAGCTGAAAAAATACTTCGAGTTGGGGTGTGGGGGGCCCTTAGGGTTGGGGTTCAGCCTTAGAAGAATGAGCTGAATGAATACTGTATGTAAATTGGAGTGTAACTTTTTAAATTATGAGAGAATGAGAATTATTGATTTTGAAATCATTTAGACTCTAACACAAAGTCTCATACTTGTATTATAGGATTACTAGAGTTTAGTTAAGAATGAATACGAAAATTTTACCTAGAGCTTTAACTCATTTTTGAAGCTGGGAGGTAAATGGTCTAAGCATGCTTTAGAATATGGATAGTACGAAGATAGTAGTAGCTCAATCAAGTGAAGTTCATTTGAAAATGTTTATAGTGGAAAGAGTTTTTATTGTTGGAATACATGATGGTATATATTATTAGGTAGTTCGCGTATTGTTGTTGTAAATAATTTGATTTGTCTAACTTTTTTGAGGAGTGTTTTTTAATTTTTTTTAATATACTATTGTCATATGCAAACAATAAAGAAAAATAAAGGATAAAAATAATTGGATAAATTTTGTATATCCTCCGTAACTCAAGAAAAGAATCTGATCACATATAAATGATGATAACTTTGTCACCTTTCAAGAAATCACATTCTTGACCTAAACTTTCCCAGTTAGAATGTCACTAAGCATGATAACATGGAAAATACTACATAGACTCCAATTCTCAAATCCCAACTTTTTACTCTCACACTCAAAATCTTGATATAGTCACTTCTACTAAGGTTCACATGAAAAAAATAACTTATCAGTTCTCACCACATAAGTGAGTAAAAGTGAGGGTAAGAATTAGGAATACATATATTAGAACTCAAATAATTAACTTTTTCACATTTTAAAGTTTGAACTTTTACTATAAAATAACCTCTATGTAAGCAAGAAAGTTTGAATTTTCTTAGCAATTTAAAAGGTAGAAAGTTATTTACATATTTTGTGTGCGCTTTAAACTATAAAAGTTTTGGTCAACTAAGAAGACGCTCTGAGATAGAAAATAAGAGGTTTGCTATCACTTCGGCAAGAATTTTGTAGAGAAGCCGACACAGTGCAATAGGTTCAAGAAAGAATTGCAAAAGATGACAATGTCATTAGCAATGATATTACAAAAATGTTGGGAAAAAAAACCCGAGTTTAGGCCATCTGGGGATTATCTAGTAGCATGTTGAAAATTATATTGCTTCATAAACTTCTTCACGATCAAACTATCTAATAAGTAACTGATTTTGAAGCTCCATAATAGAGGAACTAACACAGTACAGTCAAGGACTGGGCGGCCGGCTCATTTCAGGTGGAGTAGAAGTATATATATTAGAGGAAGGAAAGAAAATGTGACAAGGTTATTTTTGTAATTTCATTCTCTTGCATTAGTTGTTACAACTGCCACCACACTATTTAAGAGTGGCAGTTTCCCCTTCCTTGGTTGTAACGATCATCATCATCTTCTCCGCCAAAATGAATAAACATTCATATTTTCCTCAAGCTTAATCCGAATTGCGAAATGGTATCAGAGCGACGGTCAAGCTCATATGCCGCCGCCGTTACCAGCGAGTCCAGCCAAGGAGGACATGCAGCTACACCTGTAGTTGGATCGCCAACACGCACGTCCTCAACAGCAACTCCACAGAGGGGTCTTCATCTGCAAAGGAGCTACGCAGTAGAAGATATGGAGAATCCATATTTCATCAGTGCAAGCGAGAATCCTTCTGCGATTCTGGTTAGTCCGCTCCTAGCAGGGAGCTCCAACTACGCCTCCTAGTCAATCTCGATGAAAATCGCTTTGGAAGTCAAAAATAAGTGGTGTCTCGTTGACGGAACTCTTCCGGCACCAAACATAGACAATAGCCGCTATGGAGCGTGGAGGCGCTGCAATTTGATGGTGTGCTCGTGGATATTTAGGTCTGTTCATGCCTCGATCGCTCAATCCATCATGCATATAGAGAGTGCAGCAGACATTTGGGAGGATCTGAGAAAGCGTTTCGCACAGTGCGACGCTCAGAGGATTTCCGCCTTACAGATGGAGATTTACGAAGCTAAGCAACGTAATCTCTCTGTTAGCAATTACTATACCAAATGTAGAACTATGTGGGAACAAATGAATGCTTTAAGACCTATTCCTAGTTGTAAATGTGAACCGAAAGGTGCTTGTGACCTCATTGATGTTATTAGAAAGGAAAGGGAGATCGATCAAGTCATACGGTTTCTCCAAGGATTAAATGACGATTTTAATGGTCTAAAATCTAGTGTCCTTGTCATGGATCCATTGCCGGAAGTATACAAGGTATATGTGATGGAAGAAAAGGTTGAGAGGCAGATTAGTGCACCAATTCTGAGTAGCAACAATATGGAGATCACTCAGGCAAACAGTGTTCAGAATGCTCATAGATCTACAGAGGAAATGGTCGCTGCTATGAACTCTTATAATGCTAAGAAGTATGGAAGCAATGCAGGCAATAAACCTAAGTGTGTTTTTTGCGGAATGACGGGGCACACCGTTGACAAGTGCTACAAGAAGCACGGCTATCCCCCCGGGTGGATTCCGGGATACAAAACTAAGATGAAGCAGCGGAATGTTGCACCAGTGGTGAGTAATTCAACAGACCTGGGAGTTTCCAGTGATCAATTTCAGAAACTGATGATAGCCTTGCAAAACCAAATGGGGCAGCAGTCTACTAGTTCTAGTGTCACAGCTGCGGTATCCTTGATTCCAAAATTCACTGAGGCTGAGGAAGGCAAGTATTCTATTTCTCAGATTAATTTTCTTTCAATTTGTGCACCAACTTGGATTTTAGATTCCGGAGCCACGGATCATATAGCCTGCTCTATTGAATTTTTTGATGAGTATCATAATGTTGAAGGGGATGAGGTTAGCTTGCCGAATGGGAGTAGAATTACGGTTAGAAGCAGAGGCAGTGTGAGACTTGGACATGGCCTATTACTTAAGGATGTTATGCATATTCCAACATTCCATTTTAATATCATCTCAGTAAGTAAGTTGTTCCAAGACAAATCTTATAGCCTAATATTCTCCTCTGAACAGTGTATAATTTAGAAGCCACATGGGGTGATGACTGGTTTAGCTGAACAAGAGAGAGGGCTCTATGTGTTGAAGGCACCAAAGGAATCTGCTGTTCAGAAAAGTTTAGTAATGCAATGTAATAAAACTGAGATTTGGCATAGGCATTTGGGACATTTTCCTGTAAACAAGTTGCATTTGCTTAAAGAAACTCAAAATTTGCCCATAGTGAATAAAGCTTGTGATGTGTGCCACTTTGCCAAACAAAAGCGTTCTCCATTCTCAATAAGTATTTCTTTTTCAAATGCTAGTTTTGAGTTGATACATGCAGATATTTGGGGTCCCTTCCCGTTTTATTCAATGAAGGGAGAAGGCTATTTCTTGACATTGGTAGATGATTATTCCCGGTTTACATGGACACACTTGATGAAAAGAAAGTCAGAAGTTGGGAACTTGATAAAACAGTTTCATAGCTATGCTTATACACAATTTGGGATTATAATTAAGACAATTAGAGGTGATAATGGGCCCGAGTTCAACTTGACAGATTTCTATGGTGAGAAGGGGATAGTCCATCAAACTTCGTGTGTCAATACTCCGCAGCAAAACGCTGTGGTAGAAAGGAAACATCAACATATCCTCAACGTGGCCAGAACCTTACGTTTCCAAGCCCAGCTGCCTCTAGAGTTTTGGGGCCAGTGTGTCATGCACGCCGTATACATCATCAACCGTATCCCATCTCCTGTGATTAAAGGAGATAGTCCTTACCGCAGACTATATGGTAAAGATCCTACTTTCACTATGCTAAGAGTTTTTGGTTGCTTGTGTTTTGCCTCAACTTTACCCCATTCAAGGAATAAGATGGATCCTAGAGGAAGAAAGTGTGTATTCATTGGTATACCAGCTAATACGAAGGGATACATATTATATGACTTACTTGATAACACTGTTTTTGTCTCGCGAGATGTGGTTTTCTATGAGCAGGAATTTCCCTTCTCCGGACAGTCAGCCAAAACCTTCCCTCAATCTTTCAATCCTTCTCTGCCAATCATCCCCACATCGACTATGTTGAACTATGAGCAGCCACAAGCTTCACGGGCCAGTCATGAGCTCACTCCAGTAGACTCTGCTGTGGATCAGCCATCGAATGAGTTACAGCCGGTGTACTGCTCTGCAAAATAATAAGACATGGCAGCTAACAGACTTACCGGTTGGAAAGATTCCCATAGGTTGTAAATGGGTCTACAAAGTCAAGCTCAAAGCGGATGGTTCTATTGAACGATATAAGGCCAGGTTGGTGGCTAAGGGTTACACGCAACAACTAGGCGTGGACTACATCGAAACTTTTTCTCCGGTAGCTAGGATGACAACTATTCGAACCTTCCTAGCTGTGGCTGCATCTAAGGCTTGGCATGTTCACCAATTAGACATCAACAACGCCTTTCTACATGGGGATTTAGACGAAGAAGTTTATATGGTTCTCCCCCCGGGTTTCCAAGGAGAGAAGCCGAACCAAGTTTGTAGACTGCTGAGATCATTGTATGGCTTAAAGCAGGCAAGCCGGCAGTGGAACGCCAAACTCACAACTGCCCTTTTGCGTGATGGTTTCAAGCAAGCAGCTGCTGATCCGTCTCTGCTTACGAAGGGTACAGGGCGTGACTATATTGCTCTTTTGATATACGTTGATGACATCCTAGTGGCAAGCAGTGAATTAGCTAATATTCAACAAATCAAAGAGTCGCTGGATGAGGCTTTCAAGATTAAGGATTTGGGTGTTTTAGGCTATTTTTTGGGTATTGAAGCCAAAGTCACCACTGCTGGTTTGAATTTGTGTCAAAGAAAGTATGCCCTTGACATTTTGAATGATGCCGGATTCATCAGTTGTAAACCAGTGAGCACACCAATGGTCCCAGGTTCTCACTTATCACAACATGATGGTACACCGCTAAATGATCCCGGTAGTTATCGTCGTTTGATTGGGAGATTGTTGTATCTTACGGCCACAAGACCGGATATCACATATGCTGTTCATCGGCTCAGTCAATTCGTTAGCTCTCCAACCGACATCCACATGGCTGCTGCACATCGCATACTTTGTTATATTAAAGGATCTCCTGGACAAGGCATTCTATATCCAACTGCCACCCCTCTTCTGCTCAAGTCTTTCTCCGATTCAGACTGGGCCTCATGCCATGATACCCGCAGATCAGTCACAGGATATTGCATATTTCTTGGCCAATCTCTTGTATCTTGGAAGTCGAAGAAACAAGCTATAGTTTCAAAGTCATCATCTGAGGCAGAATACCGGGCACTGGCTACCACTGTTTGCGAGCTACAATGGCTCACTTCACTACTTCAAGCTTTGCAGGTTGCTGCCAGTGAGCCTGCCATTGTCTACTGCGACAACAAGTCCGCTGTTGCGATTGCTGAAAACAATGTCTTCCACGAAAGGACTAAGCATATCGAAATCGATTGCCACGTAGTTCGCGAAAGGGTTACTCAAGGCCTTGTCAAGCTGCTCCCTGTTTCTACTCTCAACCAAGTTGCAGATGGTTTTACCAAGGCTCTTCCCATCTCTCTGTTTGGTTCTTTTGTTTCTAAGTTGGGTGTTCAAAATTTGCACACTCCACCTTACGGGGGGTATTAGAGGAAGGAAAGAAAATGTGACAAGGTTATTTTTGTAATTTCTTTCTCTTGCATTAGTTGTTACAACTGCCACCACACTATTTAAGAGTGACAGTTTCCCCTTCCTTGGTTGTAACGATCATCATCATCTTCTCCGCCAAAATGAATAAACATTCATATTTTCCTCAAGCTTAATCCGAATTGCGAAAATATATGTCCTTAAAATAGTCCATCGGTTACTTATCTCAGTGGTTCCAGACACCTAACAACCAACAGAATTTCTAAGCTTCTCAGTTGCTCACCACGTACAGACACCAAAACCAGCAGGATTACCCACTCATTTGGTATAAACATAATTAGGTGTGTTTGGTTGACAGGTTTAGAATTAAGGAATAAGTATGAAAATCATTGTTATTGTTTAGTTGACAGGTTTTTAGAACACTACTATTGGTTTAGAATATCCCATTAATGGAAAAACTTATTCCCTTATTTTATAAGGGTTTCATTCTAGGTTTTTAGGTCATACATAATCAAACAACAATATTGAAAATCATTCTCATTCCACCCTACTACCAAACATACAAAATACTTTCACCAAAACACATTACCATCACCAAGTATTTGATACCCATTCCGATTCCGATTCCCATGTGCGAACCAAACACACCCTAACTTTGTTCAGCCTAGGCTTTGGGTTTCATTATGTCACATGTGCCTAGAGAGGAAATTTTGAATATATATATGTTAGTGGTAAATATATATGTCTGGAAAGGTTGGGCTATGGTTTGAGGGATACCTTATTGGATTAAGGGTTGCATTTCAGTGGGGAAACTTTGTTGAAGTTGTATGTATGTAGAAGTTTGGTAACAGTTGTGTGACTATAGATGAAGAAGAATTTTCCACATTTAAAAACAGTTGGGAAGTGTTGATGAATTTATAGATAAATATGAAGAGTTAAGGAGCCTTATGATCCATGCACAACCCTATTTGATTGATGGATATTTCCTATATAATTATGTTTGTAAACTCATCCATGACAACTAGGCAAAGAACGTACATTAGAGGAAGCCATTTGGTTTGCAAAATAGTTTGAGCAGCAAGCTAAGGAACGGGAACCAATGAGTTTTATCCTAAGCCTAGGAAAAATATAATTATACTGCCAAGCCACCAGAAATGCAGAATTGAAGTTTCAAAATAATGGGGTGAGACCTAATAACGCCAACAAGCCATCTAAAATTGCCAAGCTTAAGGATCAGCTAGGATCGGAGATCCTTTAAGTGTTTTGAATCTTGGCAGCCAGGCCAGGCCACATGTGCAAATTAAATTAAAACACCAACCTTTAATATCATTGTAGGATATGAGTGCTTTGAAGAAGATAATATGTGAAATTTAATTGAGGAGAGAAGCAGAGAAGGCAACTCCCTTAATAAGTAGGGGTGATAATGGCCAATAGATAAATTGTACTGTGATGTTGTGACAAGGGGCGTCAAATGGCAAGTACAATAGGAATTGTTTGATCGATCGAACATAATTTCAGGATACTAAAACTTGGTGGTTGTGAGTTGTGACATAGTCCTTAGAATAGATTGGATTGACATGTTTAATTTGCTCCTATACAACTGCATACTAGGCCACTTGGCATTACCTTCCAAAACCTCAGTCTGTGTAAGCTTTGAGGGGATTTCATGACATTTGTCAAGGATTATGGGTTAATCAACATACCTTTCACAACACTATTGAAGAAGAATGGTTTTTAATTTGTTGGAATGAAGCAGCAGATGAAGCATTTGAGAAGCTAGAAAGGGCTGTGTACCGCTCCTGTACTCGCATTATATTGCCTCATTTCCGAAACCAGTTCATTGTTGATGAATGAATAGAAGATGCAAGTCATAAAGGAATGAGAGCAGTGCTGATGCAAGAAGGGAGAGTATGTAGTGGCTTATTTCAACAAAACTTTTGGAGAAAAACATCTAGGTATGTCCATTTATTAGAAAGAATTTTTATCCATTATCAATGCAGTGGATAAATGGAGGCCATATCTGCTAGGAAGGAAGGCATTTTGTCATCAAAACTGATCACCAAGCCTTAAGTTTTTGTTGGATCATAAGATTACAACGGCTATGCAACTTATGGGTTTAGGAGAAATTGAGTGTTGTGATCATAGACAATGATCCTGCTAATTACTCTGAATTCACATTTCACAGTAAATAATGGACTGCAAAGAGGTCTTCTGTACTGAATACCCTCAAAGAAAACCTCTTACAAGCACAAAATAGAATGAAGCAATTTGCAGACAGGAAGAGAAGTGAGAGGGTGGTTGAAATAGGGGATTGGGTGTATTTCAAGATCCAACCATACATGCATATCTCTGTGGCTATAACAAGTCATTTGAAATTGTCCTCTAAATACTATATCATGCATGTTCCGGAGCATCCCCATCCACCATTTACACTTTTTAATCATATCCTTTCCCCCATTTCTAAATTGCTTCCGCACACTTATCAAATCTCTCAATCAGAGTACTACTTCCTTGTGATAAACGCCACCTGTTAAAGACAATTTCTCTACACTCATCTTCCCGCGACCATAGGTTCTCAAATTTGAATTTCTTCCCCGGCCGGCTATCTTTGGAATGACAGAGGCGGATAGAGGACAATAGGCATGTGGTCACTTAGTTTTTCGATACTGACACCCATTCAAGCTTTTCTTCCAACCAATTTGATTTTTCCCAAGTAAATGGGTAACCTACAAAGGGGAAGTCCCTAAGCCCACTACTCTCTATTGCTTCTTTGAACCCATGGATTAGCCATTTTGGGTGGGGAACTCTACTGCATTTTTCTTCATCGTGAAGGATGTCGTTGAAGTCACCCATAACAACCTAAGCCAAACAACTTACAGTAGACAAGTGTTGGAGGAGTTGCCATGTTTCTCTTCTTCTTCCCCATTCAGGATGCCCATACAACCAAATGAACCTCTATATATTTTTCTCCCCTTCCTCACCAATTGTTATATCGTACACCAGGGCGCATAATGCATTATGCATCCCGTCTTGCCTAAAACGATGTCATTTTGTTAAGTTGTATGAGGAGTTGACGCGGCAAAGTTTATGTATATTCTGTTATACAATTATGTACATTCTATTATAAAATTATATACGTTCGAAATATAAGAATTTTTTTTTTTTAAGAAATTAACAGCAGACACGAGAAACAGAATTTTCAAAAATAAAATACAAAATAGCTAGCACACAATGCATTGTGCACCCGATATAATTTGCCCTTCCTGACGAACAAAGGAATCAATATGTCTAAGAAACCCATTTATTGTAACTAGTATTTGTCTCGCAATGGGTGTTTTTTTTTTTTTGGGTCAGACCACAAGGTGTTCTGAGCAGATCCTAACTGTACTGTATGCAATCGTTATACCGTGCACCACGGCGCACGTAGCATTGTGCGCCCCGTGCCTCCCAAAACGACATCGTTTTGTTAAGTTGTTAAAAAAAAAAAACTTCTGTTTCGAATGCACATAAACTCATAACAGAATACACATAAACTCATATCAGAATATACATAATCTAACATAATACATAATACACAAACCCTTAACATAATACACATACACTATAACATAATACACATAAACTCTTAACAGAATACACATAAACTTTTAACATAATACACATAAACTCTTAACTGAATACACATAAACTTTTAACATAATACACATAAACTATTAACTGAATACACATAAACTTTTAACTAAATACACATAAACTCAACACAATACACATAAACATTTAACTGAATACACATAATGGAGTTTGGTTAACATAACACACATAAACTATTAATTAAATACACATAAACTCATAACACAATACACATAAACTTTTAACTGAATACACATAATTGGATTTGGCCTGTTCGGACGGACGGATTGACGTCAGCAAGAAACGCGCGCGTTTTGTGCCTGGGCGCACATTGCTATGTGCGCGGTGGTGCATGATATAAATTGTCAACTGTATGATACACATTTAAGCTTGTACCATACTGAAACTAATCCCCGTTTGCATCGGGTCGACCCAATTAAGGGTCTAGTGCTGACCAAATTAGTTTTTTCATACGAGAGGGGCTCGAACTCCCGACCACTCTTAATGGACGAGAGTGCTTGGCTACTCACGTCAACCAAACTGGTTCTAGGTGTTTTAAGTGGTTGGCTGGTTGAATATATTGGCGGAGGCAGATTTATAATTTAGTAATGTAAATATACAACGTACCTTAATATTATTCTTCAAAAGTCAAAACAACAAAAATAATACTGTACAAAAATACTTAGCCTAAAATATGTTGTAACCGCCTATGCTATCATCATTTTTCTCCTTCTCGCCTTGTATATATGTTGCTCATCTCCTCTGTAATCATCACATCGAATAACAGAAACACTTTCCAATCTTTCTTCCATCATTTTCAAACATTTCTCTTGAGCCCTCAAACATTTTCAAACATTTCTCTTGACCTCTCCTGTTATGGTATCAACACTTCCAAACATATTCTCTTGAGCCCTCACACCTATATATTACCAAAAATCAATTGATCAGAGTGGGGTGATCTGATCTCCAGCACAACTAGCTAGCTTCAATTGATCACAAGCTGAAACTATGAAGAAAACTGGTAAGTTTTATTATTATATATCTTTTTGTGGGCGTCGCAAGTAAACCTAGCTAAGAGTTAATCTTTTATCCCTATGCATGGCATCGCTATGAAAAATTCATGAAATAAATGGACTGCTCTTGCACATATTATCACAACGGTGATAGGATCAGGAGTTCTATCGTTAGCGTGGAGTGTAGCACAAGTGGGGTGAATTGCTAGCCAAATAACTCTGTTGTGTTTTGCTTCTGTTACCCTTAATTACCAGAGCATTTCTTCTCGATCTGCAACTGTTATGAACTCACCGATCAACAGGGGAACATGAACATCACCCACATCCCTGGCTCTTACCTAGCTTGAAGCTATCCAGTTAATTTTAGGTAAGAAATCTTGAACTACATGCATTTCTTTCAGTGAACTTTAGTGGGTTTTTTGTATAGCATGGAGGAGAGAGGGTATGTTCGGCAAGATGGGAGATCGAAGAGATGGTGGAGAACAAGAGACGGGAGAGAGGAGAGAGATTGAAAATAGATGGTCAATATACACATATAAATTATAACAACGAATATTATATAGTGCAGTTGACGAAATGGGTTTTATTGATTTTGTTTTCTGATGTAATCTTTCCTTGAATTCAAGCAAATAATTGTCCAATTATCCGTGCAATGCGCGTGCGGTGCACGGATAAAATTTTGCCGACCCAATAACTATGAGACGCATTTATGCTCGAACAATACTCAGACCAAAATGCTGGCCAGATTGGTTTTTTTATACGAGAAGTGGGCTCGAACTCCCGACCTCTCTTAAGGGACCTGAGTGCACGGCTACATACTCACGTCAACCAAAATGGTTCTAGGTGTTTTGAATGGTTGCCTGGTTTCATATATTGGCAGGCTGAGATTTCTAATTTAGTAATGTAAATATACTACCTTAATATTATTCTTCAAAAGTGAAAATAACAAAAGTAATACTGTACAAAAATACTTAGCTTAAATTTCTTGTAACCGCCAATACTATCTTAATTTTTCTCCTTCCCGCCTTGTATATATGTTGTTCATCTCCTCTGTAATCATCAGTTCATCACATCGAATAACATAGACACTTTCCAATCTTTCTTCATCCTTTACTTCTTCGTATGTGACCTCTCATGTTATGGTATTAACACTTTCAAACATATTCTCTTGAGCCTCACACCTATATATTATCCACAAATCAAATGATCAGAGTGAGGTGATATGATCTCCAGCACAACCTAGCTAGCTTCAATTGATCACTAGCTAAAACTATGAAGAAAACTGGTAATAAGTTTCATTATTATATATCTTTTTGTTGGCATCGCACGTAAACCTAGCTAAGAGTTAATCTTTTGTCCCCTTGCATGGCATCTCCATGAAAAATTTAGGAAATAAATGGACTGCTCTTGCACATATTATCACAGCGGTGATAGGATCAGGAGTTCTATCGTTAGCATGAATTGTAGCATAAGTGGGGTGGGTTGTTGGCCCAATAACTCTGCTGTGTTTTGCTTCTGTTACCCTTAATTACCAGTGTATTTCTTCTTGATCTGCAACTGTTATGAACTCACCGATCAACAGTGGAACATGAACATCAGCCACATCCATGGCTCTTACCTAGCTTGAAGCTGTCCAGTTAATTTTAGGAAAGAAATCTTGAACTGCGTGCATTTCTTTCAATGAACTTTAGTGAATTTTTTTTTTATATATATAGCACAGAGGAGAAAGGGTATGTTCGGCAAGATGGGAGATCGAAGAGATGGTGGAGAACAAGAGACGGAAGAGAGGAGAGAGAGTGAAAATAGATGGTCGATATACACATATAAATTATAACGAATATTATATAGTGCAGTGATGAAATGGGTTGTATTGATTATGTATTCTGATGTTATCCTTGCTTGAATTCAAGCAAATAATTGCCTAATTATCCGTGCAATGCGCGTGCGATGCACGGATAAAATTTTGCTGACCCAATAATTATGAGACACATTTAAGCTCGTACCATATTCAGACTAATAATTCCCGTTTGCATCGGGTCGGCCCAGTTAAAGGTCGAAATGTTGGCTAGATTAGTTTTTTTTTTTTTATACGAGAGGGGGCTCGAACTCCCGTCTCCCGACCTCTCTTAAGGGACGATAGTGCATGGCTACTGACGTCAACCAACGATAGTGCATGGCTACTGACGTCAACCAAACTGGTTCTAGGTGTTTTAAGTGGTTGGCTGGTTGCATATATTGGCGGAGACATATTTCTAATTTAGTAATGTAAATATACTACCTTAATATTATTCTTCAAAAGTGAAAACAACAAAAATAATATTGTACAAAAACACTTAGCCTAAAATCTGTTGTAACCGCCTATACTATCTTCATTTTTCTTCATCCTTTACTTTTCCGTATGTGACCTCTCCTATTATGGTATTAACACTTTCAAACATATTGACCTTTTTTGGTTAATGACGGATCCATCAAATTTTTGGCGGATCCTCCATTTTGGCATTTTGACTTCCGTCAAAACGCCAAAAACTATGTTTGGTAACTCAGCAGTTTGGAGCAGTGGTTTGCTCCAAACCGCTGAAATCCCAAACGCTACTAGGTGCAACGTTTGGGGTTGGCGTTTTGGGGAAGGAAAAATCTTTCCCCAAAACACCCTCCATTTTTTATAAAAAAAGAATAAAAAAATTTAAACTGCTTTGTAAGAAGCTTGAGGCTTCTTTAAAGAAAGAAGCCTTAGGCTTCTCTACTCTTGCCCATCCGATGTGCGATGGGCAAGAGTAAAACTGAAGGGGCGTTGAGTTCACTTTTATATGGGAGCTCAACGCCCCTTTTCTTCTAAACTTTCGATGTGGTATCTTTTTTTTTTTTCTTATTATTATTATTATTGTTATTATTATTATTATTATTATTATTATTATTATTATTATTATTATTATTTATTAATTAATAACAACAACAATAATAATAATAATCCTTTATATAATAAAGCTATATGGTTTGAGAAATAATTAATGTTACAATTAATGCCACAACATCCTTTATTATTAAAAAAAAAGTGCACAACATTTAAAAAATAAAATAGCTATATATTATATAATCATATAAAAAATATACTTTTGAAAAATTAAATAGCTATATATTATATAATCATATAAAAAATGTGTTCGATTAGAGTTTAAATTTACACATACAAAATTTGAAATTTGCTTTCCAAATATAATTATCTTAGTTATTATTCGTATTGTGATAAAAAAAAAACACAACATATAAAAAATAAAATAGCTATATATTATATAATCATATAAAAAATATACTTTTGAAAAATAAAATAGCTATATATTATATAATCATATAAAAAATGTGTTCAATTAGAGTTTAAATTTACACATACAAAATTTGAAATTTGCTTTCTAAATGTAATTATCTTAGTTATTATTCGTATTATGAAAATTATAATATAGATGAAATACAATTAAGAATAAATCAATGTAATTATGTAAATTCTCTCTATAAGTTTATTTGAATATGCACATAATTAGAGATTATATTAACCATATAAAATTATAATTATAATTTTAATTGTAATTTTGTATTCTATAAAAAAAATAAATACTTGACGAATGGAAGCTAAAAAATATTACTCCCTCCGTCCCATTTTATCTGTCTTACTTTCCTTTTTTAGCTGTCCCAAAATATTGTCCACTTTCTAAAAATAAACACTATCACTTTTTATATTTTCCAAAATTACCCTTACATTTCAAAATGTTAATATAATATACATTTGGTTTTTCTAGAAATGGGAGCGAGCCTAGTCAATTTACCATGTATGAGTGTATGACTGTATCCCATTATTCTTCAAACTCATTACTCTCCACCTCCGGCGGTGGTTTGGTGACTGGCCGGTCGTCGGAATTTAAAAAAATTACAGAATCGTCCAGAATGCTTCCTGAAGTTGATGTTGGGGCTATTTCAACGGGTTTGCCACAGGAATTCACGATGTTCCCATAAATTGTGAGAGGTTTGGCTTCGCTTATGCGTACAGATGGTCAAAGTCGCGCTCAACAGCAGGGGATAAATCAAAATCAAAAGTTTCAATTACGTGAAGGCAAACCGATGGTGAAAATAGAGGAGATTAAATGGAGGAATTTGGCAGAAATAGAAAGTCATTTCTCTCAGATCTTTCAAACACATTTTTCAGAGATGAATCGTTGGACTACATCTCAGCTAACCTTTGCAAATCCACTGCCTTTCTCAACCCCAAAATGTAGCTTACAGTGAGCTTTCGTTAGGCTGCCGTCGATTCCAACCTCAACGAAGGTGTAGTGTAGGTCCATTAGGAAAATCCCTTTCTTTTTCAAACCCAGATCCCTTTCTTCTCATCTCTTTTCTTAAAAGTTTGCATAAATTGAATTAATTTTGGGTTCAAGGTGATATACATGTTGAAATGCAAAACTTGATATAATCTCAATATTTTGGATGAAGATGAAAGAGACGAAGTGTTTTAAGGATTGATATCTGAGAAATGGAGTCATGGAGAAGAAATACATTGGGATTTGGGAAAGTAAGTGGTTGTGTACAGTACATCCTCCAAAGGAGCAAGGATAAAATTGGAAAATGATACACCTTTTTATTATTTTCTTAAAATGCGTGCAAAATGTAAAGAAGACAGTCTTTTCGGGACTGAGGGAGTATTATATTAAATAATTTAAAATATTTTAGTTTTTCTATTTTTTATTTATATTTATAATAACATAATTTTTTCCCGTGCATCGCGTGGGTGAATTACTAGTAATAATAATAATAATAATAATAATAATAATAATAATAATAATAATAATAATAATAATAATAATAATAATAATAATAATAATAATAATAATAATAATAATAATAATAATAATATTATTATTATTATTATTATTATTATTATTATTATTATTATATATGTATACCCTTTTGGTCATTTTACATGTTATTCGCTAACCTTAAAAGCTAATTTTACCAAACATCTTTTTACAAATCGCTGATATAATTTGCTGGTCAAACCCGCTAATACAATCCGCTATTTGATAACTGCTAACACAATCCGCTACCGCTAACCGCTGATAACCAAACAAACTCATTCTCTTGAGCCCTCACACCTATATATTACCCACAAATCAATTGATCAGAGTGGGGTGATCTGATCTCCAGCACAACTAGCTAGCTTCAATTGATCACAAGCTGAAACTATGAAGAAAACTGGTAAGTTTCATTATTATATATCTTTTTGTGGGCGTCGCAAGTAAACCTATCTAAGAGTTAATCTTTTATCCCTATGCATGGCATCTCTATGAAAAATTCATGAAATAAATGGACTGCTCTTGCACATATTATCACAACGGTGATAGGATCAGGAGTTCTATCGTTAGCGTGGAGTGTAGCACAAGTGGGGTGAATTGCTGGCCAAATAACTCTGTTGTGTTTTGCTTCTGTTACCCTTAATTACCAGAGCATTTCTTCTCGATCTGCAACTGTTATGAACTCACCGATCAACAGGGGAACATGAACATCACCCACATCCCTGGCTCTTACCTAGCTTGAAGCTATCCAGTTAATTTTAAGTAAGAAATCTTGAACTACATGCATTTCTTTCAGTGAACTTTAGTGGGTTTTTTGTATAGCATGGAGGAGAGAGGGTATGTTCGGCAAGATGGGAGATCGAAGAGATGGTGGAGAACAAGAGACGGAAGAGAGGAGAGAGATTGAAAATAGATAGTTGATATTATATAGTGCAGTTGATGAAATGGGTTGTATTGATTATGTTTTCTAATGTTATCCTTGCTTGAATTCAAGCCAATAATTGTCCAATTATCCGTGTAATGCGCATGCAATGCACGGATAAAATATTGCTGCCCCAATAACTTTGAGACACATTTAAGCTCATACCATACTCAGACAAATAATTCCCGTTTGCATCGGGTCGGCCCAATTAAAGGTCGAAATGCTGGAGATATTAGTTTTTTATACGAGAGGGGGCTCGAACTCCCGACCTCTCTTAAGGGACGAGAGTGCATGGCTACTCACGTCAACCAAACTGGTTCTAGGTGTTTTAAGTGGTTGGCTGGTTGCATATATTGGCGGAGCTAGATTTCTAATTTAGTAATGTAAATATTCTACCTTAATATTATTCTTCAAAAGTGAAAACAACAAAAATAATATTGTACAAAAATACTTAGACTACAATCTGTTGTAACCGCCTATACTATCTTCATTTTTCTCCTTCCCGCCTTGTATATATGTTGCTCATCTCCTCTGTAATCATCACATCGAATAACAAAAGCACTTTCCGATTTTTCTTCATCCTTTACTTCTCTGTATGTGACATCTCCTATTATGGTATTAACACTTTCAAACTTAGGGGTGGGAATAGGCCAGGCCCCTTCGTAGGGGCCTAGGGCCCGACATATTTAACACCTACATAGGCCTGCCTTGTTTAGTAAAAAGGTCAGACTTGGGCTCATTTTGAACCCTATTAAACTAAACAGGTCAGACATATTTATACCAAGCTCGGTCTTCAGGCCTACAGGCCTAGCCTATTTATACACTTATATATAATTTATTTGTAATATTAAGTTAGTATATATTCTATTTTATATCTAATATATTTTTATATTTACAATTTAATTCCAAGTATATATAATTATCAAACCCTAACCCTCCACCTCCAAAATCGCATTCTAAATTCTGATTCAGATATAAACATTGTTGTTAATCCTATTATAACTGTTCTTATTGTTTAATTGTTCTTACTGTTAAATATTTAATGAATTGTAACGACTTAATTATGTGAGTTGATTGTTAACTATTTATGAGATTATATAGGATGACAATCAACAATACAATTCAATTCATTCCTAAACAAGTTAACAAGCATGTTGATGTTGTGACTTGTTTTATTTTATTTTATATATGTTTTAATACTATTATGTTTGCATTGTGGTGATATACTTATGTAGTTATATATGAATTTTGTATTAGCTAGGTATATTTCTTAAATTATTTAGAAATACTTATTAAAGTTTTTAAAAAGACTTAACATATAGGTTTTGAATAGGCTCAAAGCTTAACTTACATTGAAGCCTTTTTAATGCCCTACATATTAAAAAGGCTTTTAAAATGGCTTCAGGCCAGACCATGCTAATTGTAGGCTCAGGCTTGAGCCTAACAAAAAGCCTACTTACAGGCTCGTGCCCAGACCCAGGCCTTAGATTTTCATAACAGGCCCAGGCTTAATTTTCTAAAGCTCGACTCGGCTCGGCCTATTTCCACCCCTATTCAAACATATTCTCTTGAGCCCACACACCTATATATTGCCCTCAAATCAATTGATCAGAGTGGGGTGATCTGATCTCCAGCAAAACCTAGCTAGCTTCAATTGATCACAAGGTGAAATTATGAAGAAAACTGGTAAGTTTCATTATTATATATCTTTTTTATTGCCGTTGCACGTAAACCTAGCTATGGCATCTCCATGAAAAATTTAGGAAATAAATTGACTGCTCTTGCACATATTATCACAGCGGTAATAGGATCAGGAGTTCTATCGTTAGCATGGAGTGTAGCACAAGTGGGGTGGATTGCTGGCCCAATAACTCTGCAATGTTTTGCTTTTGTTACCCTTGATTACCAGTGCATTTCTTCTCGATCTACAACTGTTATGAACTCACCGATCAACAGGGGAACATGAACATCACCCACATCCATGGCTCTTACCTAGCTTGAAGCTGTCTAGTTAATTTTATGTAAGAAATCTTGAACTGCGTGCATTTATTTCAGTGAACTTTAGTGGGGGGTTTTTTTTTTATAAAGCATGGAGGAGAAAGGGTATGTTCGGCAAGATGGGAGATCGAAGAGATGGTGGAGATAGATGGTCAATATACACATATAAATTATAACAACGAATATTATATAGTGCTGTTGATGAAATGTGTTGTATTGATTACGTTTTCTGATGTTATCCTTGCTTTGATTCAAGCAAATAATTGCCCAATTATCTGTGCAATGCGCGTGCAGTGCACGGATAAAATTTTGCTGGCCCAATAACTATGAGACACATTTAAGCTCGTACCATATTCAAATTAATAATTCCCGTTTGCATCGGTTCAGCCCAATTAAAGGTCGAAATTAATGCTGGACAGATTTGTTTTTTTGTTTTTCTTTTATACGGGAGGGGGCTCGAACTTCGGTCTCCCGACCTCTCTTAAAGGACGATAGTGCACGGCTACTAACGTCAACCAAATTAGATCTAGGTGTTTTAAGTGGTTGGCTCGTTGGATATATTAGCGGAGACAGATTTCTAATTTAGTAATGTAAATATACTACCTTAATATTATTCTTCAAAAAGAGAAAACAACAAAAATAATACTGTACAAAAATACTTAGCCTAAAATCTGTTGAAACCGCCTATACTATCTTCATTTTTCTCCTTCCCGCCTTGTATAAATGTTGCTCATCTCCTCTGTAATCATCAGTTCATCACATCGAATAACATAAACACTTTCCGATCTTTCTTCATCCTTTACTTCTCCGTATGTGACCTCTCCTGTTATGGTATTAACACTTTCAAGCATATTCTCCTGAGCCCTCACACCTATATATTACCCACAAATCAATTGATCAGAGTAGATGATCTGATCTCCAGCAAAACCTAGCCAGATTCAATTGATCGCAAGCTGAAACTATGAAGAAAACTGGTAAGTTTTATTAATATATATCTTTTTGTTGGCGTCGCACGTAAACCTAGCTAAGAGTTAATCGTTTATCCCCATGCATGGCATCTCCATGAAAAAATCAGGAAATAAATGGACTGCTCTTGCACATATTATCCAGCGGTGATAGGATCAGGAGTTCCATCGTTAGCATGGAGTGAAGCTCAATTGGGTTGGATTGCTGGCCCAATAACTCTGTTGTGTTTTGCTTCTGTTACCCTTAATTACATGTGCATTTCTTCTCGATCTGCAAATTTTACGAACTCACCGATCAATAGGGGAACATGAACATCACCCACATCCAAAGCTCTTACCTAGCTTGAAGCTATCCAGTCAATTTTAGGTAAGAAATCTTGAACTGCGTGCATTTCTTTCAGTGAGCTTTAGTGGTTTTTTTGTATAGCATGGAGGAGAGAGGGTATGTTGGGAGATCGAAGAGATGGTGGAGAACAAGAGACGAAAGAGATGAGAGAGTTAATTATATAGTGTTGGATGAAATGAGTTGTATTGATATTGTTTTCTAATGTTATCCTTGCCTGAATTTAAGCAAATAATTGCCCAATTATCCGTGCAATGCGCGTGCGAATCACGGATAAAATTTTACTGGCCCAATAACTATGAGACACATTTAAGCTCGTACCATACTCAAACTAATAATTTCCCTTTGCATCGGGTCGGCCCAATTAAAGGTCGAAATGCTGGCAAAATTAGTTTTTTTTTTTATACGAGAGGGGGCTCGAACTCCCGACATCTCTTAAAGGACGAGAGTGCACAACTACTCACGTCAACCAATGTGGTTCTAGGTGTTTTAAGTGGTTGGCTGGTTGCATATATTGGCGGAGCCAGATTTCTAATTTAGTAATGTAAATATTCTACCTTAATATTATTCTTCAAAAGTGAAAACAACAAAAATAATACTGTACAAAAATACTTAGCCTAAAATCTGTTGTAATCGCCCATACTATCTTCATTTTTCTCCTTCCCGCCTTGTATATGTGTTGCTCATCTCCTCTGTAATCATCACCTCGAATAACCGAAACACTTTCTGATTTTTCTTCATCCTTTACTTCTCCGTATGTGACCTCTCCTGTTATGGTATTAACACTTTCAAACATATTCTCTTGAGCCGTCACAGCTATATATTACCCTCAAATCAATTGATCAGAGTGGGGTGATCTGATCTCTAGCACAACCTAGCTAGCTTAAATTGATCACAAGTTGAAACTATGAAGAAAACTGATAAGTTTCATTATTATATATCTTTTTGTGGGCGTCGCACGTAAACCTAGCTAAGAGTTAATTATTTATCCCCATGCATGACATCTGCATGAAAAATTCAAGAAATAAATGGACTGCTCTAGGACATATTATCACAGCGGTGATAGGATCAGGAGTTTTATCGTTAGCATGGAGTGTAGCACAAGTGGGGTGGATTGCTGGCCCAATAACACTGCTGTGTTTTGCTTCTGTTTCCTTTAATTACCAATGCATTTCTTCTCGATCTGCAACTGTTATGCACTCACCGATCAACAAGGGAACATGAACATCACCCACATCCATGGCTCTTACCTAGCCTGAAGCTGTCCAGTCTATTTTCCAGTGAACTTTAGTGGGTTTTTTTATATAGCATGGAGGAGAGAGGGTATGTTCGGCAAGATGAGAGATCGAAGAGATGGTGGAGAACAAGAGACGGGGGAGAGGAGAGAGATTGAAAATAGATGGTCCATATACACATAAATTATAACAACGAATATTATATAGTGCAGTTGATGAAATTGGTTGTATTAATTAGGTTTTCTAATGTTATCCTTGCTTGAATTCAAGCAAATAATTGTCCAATTATCCGTGCAGTGTGAGTGCAATGCACGAATAAAATTTTGCTGGCCCAATAACTATAAGACACATTTAAACTCGTACCATACTCAGACTAATCTCCGCTTGCATCAAGTCGACCCAATTAAGGGTCGAAGTGCTGGCCAGATCAGATTAGTTTTTTCACACGAGAGTGCACGGCTACTCACGTCAACCAAACTGGTTCTGGGTGTTTTAAGTGGTTGGCTGGTTGCACATATTGGCGGAGCTAGATTTCTAATTGGTAATGTAAATATACTACCTTAATATTATTCATCAAAAGTGAAAACAACAAAATTAATATTGTACAAAAATACTTAGCCTAAAATTTGTTGTAACCGGCTATACTATCTTCATTTTTCTCATACCCGCCTTGTATATATGTTGATCATCTCCTCTGCACGATATAATTTGCCCACATCAACGCTATTCTCAGCTCTGTACCTTGCCTTATTAACCTCATTTGTCACCATCTTATCATAGTCAACATTCATTTTTAGTAGCATTGCCTTGGATGTTTGTCACCACCACCCTACTATCCAGACGCACTGCACCACTTCTCATACCCAACAAACTAGTACTACTATTTGTAGGCGCTCGACCTCCTCTAGTGTACCATACTAGGGGTGGGTGTTTGTAGCACTCCCGATTTTACCAATATTTAAAAGCATAAATAAGAGATAAACAGTCTAATCATTAATCATAAACGAGCGGAAGCAAAACTTTTAATCGGGAAAGTGCTATGCCACACCCTTAAATCTACGGGTGCACAGGCTAAGTCTAACAGAATCATCATAACATATCAGCAGTCTAAGGCACACAAGCCAACAATCTAAGGCACACATGGCAACATTCTAATCGAAAGGGAAGGCAAGAACTACGCTATCTAGATCCACTAACGCGCTCTCCAAGCTACTCATAACCTGAAAATCATAGGGATAACACCCGTCAGCGAGAGATGCTGGTAACCTACCAATACGCGTTAAATAACATAATGTATAGATATAAGCAAAACCATTTGAGACTAAGGAATACGGTAGATATCATTTCAAAATCAAGAGTGGGAAACATCAAAGGACACAACGTCACTATCTCAACAAAAGATCGATCATCAACCACAATACACAAATCAACAAGGAAAACAAGCAACATACTCAACAATGGACACAACCTACCATCTTAATGGTAGAGTTCTTGATAGATATGCTCATAAGCAATAAACACAACAAATCACATAATGACAAGTTTCACGTTCCAACCTTTTACCTTAGTACCACCCTTATGGCTACTCCCGGCCTTATCTCAGTTCCAACCTATACCTCCGAGTGCCACCCTGTACTTCTAAGTCCAACCTTATCACTCCTAGGACCGTTGTCCCCCACCAATCTGCCGCCAATCAATACCGCCGTTCTCTCAGTACACGAGGGTACCATTAAACATCATAGTAACATACCGCCGATCTCAAGAGCAAAGCTCAAATAACAATACCGCCAATATCATTCACAATCATACATAGTCATCATCAAGTGGATTGAGGCACATCAATAGCCAAATCAAGCATCAACAACGGGTACAACAAATGTACAAGATCACATCATAGAAATCAATCAAGAGGTTTCAATGATAGACATGAAACAATACTCAACAACAACAATGGACTTCAATCCAATATCAACATGATTGGCAAAACAAGTTGTGAATCCTCAAAGGAGTGGACAAACAACACATACTAGCATCAAAGACAACATAACTAGCATGCACATCAAACGGGTAAACCAAAATGATTTCAACGAATCTCAAAGACACACATAAATCCAACGAATCACAAAGTTGGAACATAAGCATAGATACTTAGGACATCGTTCTAGACATACCAAACATCAAGGAGACACCCAAAAGCTCAACAATCCAATAAAAGGAGGTCATAACATCACATACCAAAGGATGGAACCACGGATAAACAACATCCAACCGTCCACCGAGGTTATACCCCGAGGGTGGAACCACGAGTGGGTCCCTACCCGTGGCTCTACCCGCCGAGTACAAAGCCACCACCCACGGGTGGGGCGGCGGGTGGACATCCGCCCGCGGGGAACACCTGAGACACCAATTTTTCCCTTCGGGGAAATTCATCAACAAGGCCAAGTTCAAGTCCAAAACACCCCAAATCTCACATACCACAAGGAAATGACTTTAACCCAATGATAGATCAAAGAATAAGATTCAAGAAACCTAGATACAAGCTCTAATCATGCATCACATCTCACATTTACACCAAGAATCATCAATAGAAGTCAAGAAACATCAATAGCAAGTAGAAAATAGGTTTTGTATAGCATGGGTTACCTTTGTAGACCAAAACCTTCTTCCTTCCAACCCTCCTAAGCCCTACTTGGAAGTTCTTCTTCCTCACAACCTTCTTTCACAAGCCAAACCACAAGAAAACACCAAACTTAGATAAAGACACCTTAAAGCTAACCAAAAACACTAAATAACTTTAGATCTTACCATTTCCTATGCTTGGAAGATAGAAAGGTGGGATCTTGGGATGAATCTTTGCAAGATTGGGTGATGTCTTTCTTGGCTTCGGGAAGAAGCCAAGTTTCTAAGAGAGAATGGAGAGAAAAGTTGTCTTGCTATAGTGAGGGAATGAACTTTAGGTTTGGATAGGGTAAGGCTTCAAGACCAAGTAAGGAGAAAAGACGATCTTACCCTTAGGAAGACTCCAAAGAATTAGGTACAAACATCAAAGCTAAAGGTACTCCTTTTTTACTTAAATCAATTGACCAAGGAGTTGGTTAATTTAGGTCCCCCGTCTATCAATTTAGGAAATTGATTAGGAAATTAACAAGGATAACTTAGAATCAATTACTCAACTAATCCTATTTAAAGGATAGGATTTTCGGGGTGTCACATCTTCTCCCCCTAACAATAAGCTTCGTCCCTGAAGCTTGGGTACGGCAAGGTTTGACAAAAGGATAATGGTGAATCAAAATGTGACATGAATAGAAGAAGATATAAATGAGGCTTTTGGGCAACAAGCTCTCACCAAGCAACTTTACACAAATCTAAGGCACACTTCACAAAACCAAGGACTAACTTACAACCAAACTTAGCACATCTACAAACAATCTACCCTACACCCACAACTATCAACAACTACCGCTAAAGATAACGCATAAGGCAAGCAAAATCTAGAAAGATTACCTCACTCCTTGGCTTGGGACGAGTCGTCCCCCGAGTCCTCTTCAGCTTCTTCCTCAGATCCGAGATCTTCCTCATCTCCATCCCGGCTAGAACTAGCCTCCAACGCTGTCTGCCTCTGGTTCACGATCACAAATTGTGCCTTCATGAATGCGAAACCTTCCTCAATTATCTGATTTTGCTGTCGAAGAAGAGCTTCCACACATTCCTCGTATGTCATGGAGTCGTTAGCTTTCTTCCTTGTTTCTTTCCTTCGACGGTTCTCCTCATCCTCGGAATCGCTCTCCTTTACCTCCTCTTCCTCTTCTTCACTTCTTCCCAACTCCTGGACAGTCTACTTTAGCTTCTTGTCGGGAACTCCCAGCTGCTCAGACAAAAGCTTCCTCTCAGATGGGGATTTCTTGGCTACCTCTTCTAGGGTTATGTACTCGTTGTCATCCAGCAGAAACAGATTACAACTTCACAGATTTGCAGCATCCAACATCCTTTTACCCACAGCCTTGGCAAATGTTCCTTCAACTTTTACCCCTTTCTTCTTAAGGATCCAACGCAGAATCATACCATATGGTAGGCTCTTTCGGTTATGGACCACACAATAATCCATGTGTTAAAGAATGAGCACTGGCAGGTTGAACTTCACCTTATGTTTCAATAAATAGGCAAAAGCACACTCCAAATTTCCCAAAAGATTGCTGTTATTATTGTTAGGTAACAGACAGTCCGTAACAAGCATTATCAAAATCTTTTGTTCCCCGGTGAGCCACTTCCTTTCCGGCCTAGGTAAAACCATCGGTTCGCCCAAACAGATATTCCAAATAATCCTGGTACCCCAAATCTTCGGTGCTAACCCAAGCATCCCTACAGTACTCCGTGACCCCAGTGGTCGTTAAATTCAGGAGTTTTGCCAATCGATTTTCATTCAAAGAAATTTTAACACGGTTAGAGGTGATTTCCAACTTCCCTCCATCCTTAGTCACATTCATGTGACGATAAAATTCCTTCACCAAATCCAGATAGGTCTCATTCTTAATCAACAAAATCCATTCCACAACTCTTGAAAATTAAGCATGTCCAACAAGGAGCTTAAAAAAGATTCGGGTTCAAAGGTTTTACCTTCCAAAACCGAGTAATGGGCATCCACCCATTCCACTCTCTTACTGATTTTTGACCTTCTAGGCATAGTGCAAGATGTACAAGGTGAGGTAGACTCAAAGCTTCTCCCTTTTCCTTCTTCTTATCCTTTTTCTTCTTTTCAGCTGCACTTTTCCAGCGATGCAGCGGCGAACGGTGGCGGCAGTAGCTGGTGGCGACGGGCGGCGACAGGTCGGCGGGTAGAGAAGCAGCGACGAGTAGGGGGGTTTCTTTGGCTGGTGCGGGTAGGATAAGAAGAGAAGAGAGAGGAGGGTTTTGGAAAAAAAAATTGGGAAAAAGGAATTTTAATTTGGGGATTTCAATTTAGGTTGAAAGGATTAGGTAAAAAGGAATTAAAGGGAAATAAAATACAAGGAACACAACTAGCATAGATGGTTGAAGTGTTTGGTTAGAAACTTAGAAGCTTGTGTTCAAAACTTGTTAACTACAAATTAAGGTTTTAGGTTCTAAACTTAAGGATATTCTTAAAAATTTACCCAAGTCTAGGTTTTAGATGAAGAAAGGCTTTATAGATTACACTTTGAAAAATTAAATCTTTTAACTCTTGAGTTTTCAAACTAAGGTTTGACAATTTAAACGAAACGACTAACTCCCCTGTTGCTAGAAAAAAGGGACATCAACATAATGTGTTTGTTCTATTTTCTGTGTGTTCTTCTTCAC